TAGCCCCCTGCCTCAGGCCCCCCCCTTTCCCTATCCCCAGCCAGACCCCCACCAGCACCCTGCTCCTGCCCCCTGACCAAATCCCCACCAGCACTTTGCCTCTGCAGCGCAACTGGCAAATCACGACTTTGACAATTATGCTAAACTGGTCCCCCTATTTGAACATTTGCCGGACTCTAAACGCCAGATTTTGAAGGCGGTGATACAAGAAGGTTACATCATTGCCAGGATGGCGTTGCAGATAGCGCTTGACACGGCTGATGCAGCTTCTCGAGCTACGGCTACAGCCATAGTCATGCGCCGAGCGTCATGGTTGCACCAGGCTGTGGTCCCAAAAGACATGCAGTCTAAGGTGGAGGACCTACCATTTGATCGGCAGTCACTTTTCGCTCAATCCACCGATCAGGTCTTCCACTCAGGCAAGGACACATGCACGACTTTGAGAACGCTAGGCATTTACACGCCTCCTTATAAACGCAAGAGATACATGCCCTTTAACAAGCAAAGACTGTTTTCTTATTCTACACCTCGGTCCAGACCTTTTGAACAGCAACAACAAGAAAGACCTAGACAGCGCCCACAAAAGCGTCGACAACGCTCTAACAGGGCGCCTGTTCAGCAACAAGGTCGGCAGCAAGTTTGATGGGTTGGTCGAGGGACTCTGCACCATCCCCTTGTTAGAGACTCCACACAACTTGCAAGGCTTTGTTCCATCACCGCCTGAGACCTTATCAACATCGTTGGTCTCGTATATCCACCGACCAGTGGGTCCTCGACATAGTTGCCACAGGATACCTCATTCCCTTCAACTCTCTCCTCCCCCCTTCTCCTCCTCATTCCCTTCAACTCTCTTCCCTCCCGTTCCCCTCCTTCCCCCTCCCTTTTCAGGGACCCCTTTCATGAGAACCTGTTACGACAAGGTTTTATATCTGCTCTCGATAGGAGTGGTGGAGAGGGTACCAGCCCAGTATCGCGGGAGAGGGTTTTACTCCCATTATTTCCTCATCCGGAAGAAGTCAGGGGGTTGGAGGCCTATCCTGGACCTACGTCAGCTCAATCGTTACCTGCGGAAGCAGAGATTCAAAATGGTCACGTTGTCTTCCATCATTCTGGCTCTCAAAGAGGGGGATTGGTTCGCGTCCCTCAACCTCCAGGATGCCTATTTCCACATAACGATTCATCCAGCTCACAGGCGATTCCTTCGGTTTGTGGTAGGAGTCAACCACTACCAGTACCGAGTACTACCCTTCGGCCTTTCAATGGCTCCCCGAGTTTTTTCAAAGACCCTTGCAGTGGTGGCTGCTTTTCTTCGGCGTCTCGACATTACCATCTTCCCGTACCTGGACGACTGTCTATTAAAGGCCCCCACCTTCGACGAAGCTATGTGGGCGGTCACCACTACTACCATGAAATTCAAAGCTCTCGGTCTCGTAATCAACGCCGAGAAGTCTTTTCTCATTCCGAATCAAGATCTGGAGTTCATTGGGGCGAGGCTCGATTCCTCAACTGCAAGAGCATACTTGCCCATGAAAAGGTTCCAACTAAGTCGAGATTTGGTACAGACTATTTCAGTTTCCCCCAAATCTCGAATACTTACCTGCCTGCAGCTCCTAGGGCATATGGCGACTACTACATCTGTAGTTCCTCATGCAAGGCTTCATCTCCGTGGTCTCCAGCATTGGCTATTCACAGTGTACACCCCCGGCATACACAGCACAAACAGGGCAGTCTCTATCCCGAACCAGGTCAGGACCTCACTGATATGGTGGGGCGACGCCAAGAACATGTTGCTAGGAGTTCCCTTCCATGCTCAGAGACCATCCCTGCAAATCACAACAGACGCATCTCTGCTCTGCTGGAGTGCTCATTTACAGGACAGCCAAGCGCAAGGCCTCTGGACTCCCCAAGAATCACTGCAACACATAAACTTTCTCGAGCTTTGAGCGGTCTTCAACGCTTGCAGGAACTTTGTCCACGTCATTCACGGTCAATCAGTACAGATCCTCACCGACAACATCTGCACGGTGTATTACATCAATCGGCAAGGGGGTGCGCGTTCCCGCTCCCTCTGAGCAGAGGCAGTCCACCTCTGGAATTGGGCAATCGGTCATGGTGTCACCCTGATGGCAGCTTACCTTCCTGGCAAGGACAACATCCGAGCTGACGCTCTCAGAAGGAATTTCTTCTCCCAGCACGAATGGGAGCTACACACGGAGGTCACCCGCAACCTCTTCCAACGATGGGGCTTCCCAAAGATAGAGCTCTTCGCCACTCGCAGCAACAGGAAATGTCATCACTACTGTTCTCGAGTGGGCACCGGAGCAGGCTCTTTGGGGGATGCCTTCCTGCTGGACTGGAGTCGTCACCAGTTGTTGTACGCATTTCCCCCTCTCCCGCTTATCCCGAGGGTGCTGGAGAAGGTAGCAGCAGACCAGGCAACAATAATTTTAAAAGCACTCTTCTGGCCCCGGCAGACATGGCTAACTCAGTTGTCAAGGATGTCAGTCGTCGAACCGATACAGCTACCGGTACTGTTCAATTTGCTGTCTCAACAGCACGGCATGATGATCCACCCGTGCATCGACCGCATGTACCTGATGGCATGGCTCCTAGCTGGCTCCAAGGGTTGGAGTTCATGTGTTCTCACGAAGTGAGACATGTACTAATTAACAGCAGACGCCACACCATGTGCAAGACTTACCTGCAGAAATGGTGTCGCTTTCAAGCTTGGTGTGCGGCACGGGATCTCGACCCTCTCTCGCTGCCTATCCAGCAGGTATTGGATTATATTTTGTATCTGAAGATGACAGAGTTGGCATGTTCTTCTCTTAGAGTGCACTTAGTGGCAATCTCCGCTTTCCTTCTGTCCATCGGTGGTTATTCACTGTGTACACACCCCCTCACCAAGAGGCTTTTTAAGGGCCTGGACAACTTATATCCAGCTCATAGGATTCCTCCGGAGCCATGGGACTTGGCGTTAGTATTGGACACTGTCACTCGCCCTCCTTTCGAACCGTTAGCATCGACTGATTTGAAAGTGGTGTTCCTCCTGGCTATTACATCCGCGTGGCGAGTGAGTGAATTAACAGCTCTCTCGGTAGACCCACTGTACACACAGTTTTCCAGTGATGCCGTGGTACTTCGTGTACACCCGGCCTTTCTGCCAAAGATCAATTCTGCTTTTCATATAAATGAACCCATGTGTTTTACAACGTTCTTCCCAAAGCCTCATTCTTCTCCGGAGGAGTCCCGTCTGCATACTCTAGATGTTAGACAAGCGCTGGCTTTTTATCTCATCATTCTTCTCCGGAGGAGTCCCGTCTGCATACTCTAGATGTTAGACGAGCGCTGGCTTTTTATCTCGAAAGGACGCGTAGTTTTCGAAAATCTCAACAACTATTCCTGTCTACAGCTGAACGTTGCAAGGGCAAACAGCTCTCTGCACAGCGCATATCAGGCTTGATTGTCTCCTGCATTAGACGTTGTTACGCTTTACGGAACAAACCCCTGCCTGACCGAACCCGAGCTCACTCTACTAGGGGCATGGCAGCATCCACTGCCTATCTTCGCGGAGTACCATTACAGGACATATGCCGAGCAGCTACCTGGTCCTCTAATCTTACCTTTGCTAAACATTACGCTCTTGTAAACTCTCTGAAGACCGACTCAGCAGTAGCTCACGCGGTCTTGTCTGCAGTGCAGAACCGATGATTCCGAAGCACGCATTTGTCATCGGACCACTGCTGTGGACTCACCTCTAGTGGAGCACCCATTGGGGACACTACTCGATGAAGAAGAGAGAGTTACTCACCTTGTGCAGTAATGTCTGTTCTTCGAGATGTGTCCCCCCATGGGTGCTCCACGTCCCACCCTCCTCCCTGCTTCGAAGTTATATTTCTATATTTTTCAGATGCTTCCGGTTGGGAGGAAACTGACTAACCGGACCGCGCTCAGCTGAGAGGCGCGAAACAGCGGTCGCGCATGCGTGGTCCGGTGGGGGGGCTACTGCTATTGAAGATCCTCCGGTTTGCAGTGCCGGGACGAGCCCAGCACCTCGAGTGGAGCACCCATGGGGACACACATCTCGAAGAACAGACGTTACTGCACAAGGTGAGTAACTCTTGCATCTCCATCCTTAGAGATTTTTAAAGCCAGGCTTGACAAAGCCCTGAAATGATTTAGTTGGGGTTAGTCCTACTTTGAGCAGTGGGGTGGACCACATGACCTTCTGGGGTCTCTTTCAACCCTAATCTTCTATGATTAAATCAAGTCACTTGGCTTTCACACTGAATTACAGGAAACACCTTGGCTACATGGGGGTTTCTTCCCAATCTGGATGTATGACTCACTCTACAGCAAAAACTTTAAAAACCAGTTTTTCCTATTACAGACTAATTCCGCTGCCCCTGAAGCTTTCACTCTACAGCACTTTGTCAAGTTAAACAAATCACCTGGCAAAAAACAGCTGCTGTGCGTGGGTGCCTTGCTAAAAGGCAGCAGATTCCTGCAGGGATGAGGAGGTGGCAGAGTACTTGGTATAGCAGTGCCCAGGAATTCTGTTGTCATTGAGAAAAAACTAACTTAAGTGGATGTAACTAGCTGTGTTTGTATGGAAAATTCTGTTCTATGAATAGAAGTGAACTGTGTAATCTCATGCACACTCATGTAAAGGTAGGTATTATAGTATTGTCTGACATTCTGGGTTGTCATGAACACTACTCGCATCATTCCAGTGCAGAACATCTGGGGATGTTTTGCACTGGAAATTTGAAACCCAAAGGCACAACGGTAGTGGTTACTGATTTCCTAGAATACTACGGGAGTTTGTTTGGATGAGCCCAGATCCTCCATTTATTAGCCTCTGAGAGTGATGCAAGAAAACAGATCTCTTGTTTTGGAGACAGCCCAGAGTTCTCCAAGACCCGTGTTACTGAATTGTGGGGTGGTACTTAAGAGTTGTAAGGTGCAAATTAGGAATATAATAGAATAACCATTTTAATGGTTAACCAATAAGCTTAAGCTTATTGGTTACCATTAATGGTTACATGACAGCTCTGGGCCCCCTTCCTAGGGAGCCAGCTGCCACCCCGCGCTGCTGCTTCTATATCAAAGCCTGCAATGCGGAGCAGCAGCCGTCTCCCTGGGAGGGCTGGGAGCTGGTACACACTGGGAGTTGGCTTGGAAGCCAGCTCCTGCCTGCAGTCCCACTCCTGGGGAGCTGGCTGCTGCCCTGTGCTGGTGCCTCGGCTCTCAGCACTAGGCACACACCGGCTCCTGGCTGCCAGCCTCACTCTCAAGGAGTGGGCTGTGCTGCAGGCTCTGCTGTGTACGCTTTTTATTGCAGTGCCCACAGTGTGTAACCGTGTCACTGCTAAGATTTTCAGCAGTTACACAGTTACTTAATTAACCACTTTTAACATCACTAGTGCAAATACTCTGAGGGACTGCGGTCTAGTACTTAGAATATGGATAATGGCATCTGGGCTGCTGGGTTCTGGAACAAGTCACTTCACTTAGACTCATAGACTTTAAGGTCAGAAGGGACCATTATGATCATCTAGTCCGACCCCCTGCACAGTGCAGGCCACAGAATCTCACCCACCCCTCCTAGAATAATCCTCTCACCTATATCTCAGATATTGAAGCCTTCAAATACTTTGAAGACCCCAAGATGCAGAGAATCCTCTAGCTGTGATCTGTTCCCCATGCTACAGAGGAAGGCAAAAAACCTCCAGGGCCTCTGCCAATCTACCCTGGAGGAAAATTCCTTCCCGACCCCAAATATGGCGATCAGCTAAACCCTGAGCATGTGGGCAAGACTCACCAGCCAGACACCCAGAAAGTTCTCTAGTGATAGAGATGTAGCCGTGTTAGTCTGGTGTAGCTGAAGCAAAATACAGGACTATGTAGCACTTTAAAGACTAACAAGATGGTTTATTAGATGATGAGCTTTCGTGGGCCAGACCCACTTCCTCAGAACTGTTTTTTTCTTTGTGATCCTGTCTAATGTCTGTTTTGTGGGCATTGATTCTTTGGCGAAGTGTCTGAGACATTTGTCCAATGTACATAGCAGACGGACACTTTCGGCACATGATAGCATAGATTATATTTCTGGAGGCGCAGGAATATGTATTCTTGATCTTATAACTCACTTGGTTAGGCCCAATAATGGTGTCAGCAGAGTATATACATGATACCAGAAATATAATCTATGCTATCATGTGCTGAAAGTGTCCGTCTGCTATGTACATTGGACAAATGTCTCAGACACTTCGCCAAAGAATCAATGCCTACAAAACAGACATTAGACAGGATCACAAAGAAAAAACAGTTGCTTGTCATTTCAACCAGAAAGGACACTGTCTCAATGACCTGCTAACCTGCATCCTACTTCAGAAGACATTCAAATCTGCACTTGAAAGGGAATCCTCTGAACTGGCATTCATGCTAAAATTCGACACTCTCCACAGGGGAATTAACAAAGACTCCAACTATCTTACCCATTACAAAGATAGCTTCCCCAATTATCACCTCTAATACTATTAACTCACAGACATTTCCCCTTCCCCACCTCTAATATTAACTCACTGGCATTCACCTTTCTTTCCCCCCCCCATCCCCCTTCTGTTCTGTAATGTGATTTGTCCTTTTCATGTGTGTTCATTTTTTTAATTGTATCCTTTGGTATATATGGTTGTGACTATTTTCTTCCACTATTTGATCTGAGGAAGTGGGTCTGGCCCACGAAAGCTGATCACCTAATAAACCATCTTGTTAGTCTTTAAAGTGCTACATAGTCCTGTATTTTGTTTCAGAAAGTTCTCTAGTAACTCCTATCATCCCTCCGTTGACCTATTTCCCACTGATAATGAATGGTCAATTAGTTACCAAGATCATGTTATCTCATCAAACCATCCCCTTCATAAACCCATCTAGTTTAATCTTGAAACCAGATAGATCTTTTGCCCCCACTACTTCCCTTGGAAGGCCGTTCCAGAACCTCACTCCTCTTGTTATTGCCTAACTTATTGCCCCTTGCAAAAGAGTTATGCGGTAATCAGCTTCTGTGTCTTACTCTTCAGATAAGAGATTCCTTAGAAGCCAAGAGCATTGTGCCATACTTAGGTAGATGCTGATGGTCATATGTTCATACAGTTTAAGAACAATTGCCCAGGTAGCCAGTGCTCAGTGCCGAAAGCCAGAAATAATAAGAGCTGAGCCCAAATTAGTCCCCAGTTCTTTAAAGTATAGATTTTAAGATCAAAAGGGACCATCAAATCATCTAGTCTGGGCTTCTGTATAATACAAGCAGATGATTTTATCCAGTTACTGCTGTATTGAGCCCAGTACTCATATAATTTAATACAAAAAACAGGACTGTGTAGCTCTTTAAAGACTAACAAGATGGTTTAATAGGTGATGAGCTTTCGTGGGCCAGACCCACTTCCTCAGATCAAATAGTGGAAGAAACTTCTCAGCAATTTAGATCCAAACTTCAAGACTCAAGCCATTTCTTACATATCCCATACTGCCCTGCTGGCTTGCCTTGTCCAAGCCAATGACTGCCTAATGACCTGATGCCACTTCTATTATCTCATTCAGTTGCAGATTTCTCAGTGAGTTCCAGGATTTCTCTGATGTAACCTGAATTTGAAAACAATGCAGAGATTCGATGGAATATGCATATTTCCTTTTTCTGATTTGCACTCAATGATCACATCATTCTGTGTTGGTTTGAGAGAGAGTCTCACGTTACAGGGTTTTGATGCAAACTTACTCTAAATTAAAGGGAATGCAGTCTGGGGTTACTCCCATTCAATATGTTACTTATTCTTGTAAGTGGAGGTAAAATGGGCAGGATGGAAAGAATCATCATGGGGCTATTGCTAAAGAAAGGGAGCCAAAAGGTTCCTGGTTCTCCAGCTGTCTCATTGTGTGACAATGGGCAAATTACTTGCTCACTGTCTGCCTCATTTTCCCCACTTGTAAAATAAGTATAACATCCTTATCTTCCAGGGGCTCAGAAGTTGTAGGGCATCTTGAGACCAAAGTGCTCCTCTCATTGGTTATAGTGCATTGCTTTATTAATCCAGGATTCCCTGGCACATGGACTGTGGATTATATCATCAATCTGTATGCTGGCAGAACCCCCAGTGGGACCCTAGGAGCTGCCAGGGACTCTGTTCCTCCGAAAGTATAGCATGTTCATGCAGGACTGAAGCCAACTGCAACTTTAAACTGGGTGGGGAGTGAACCTCTCTGTTCAGACTAGGCACAAGTGTCCCCTTTATACCCTCTCTGTCACTAACTCAAATCAAATCTGAAATGTTCCTGAGGACCCAATGAGTTAGCCTGTATTAACTGAGAAGAGATTGGATTGGATCTTAGTCTCTTGTTTTTCATGTTGTCCATAGGAAAACAGAATGCCAGGATATCCCTGTGTATGGAACAGGACATTTGACTGTTAGTGTAACCTCCATATTTGACTTGCTTTACAATTATTTGATGGTGTCCTGGTTTCGAACTGTTATAAAATGATGTTCTTGAAACTGACTTAAACTAAAATGTAGGGTTTATGAAAATGCTCTTCTGATGGCAAGCTATGCAGCACACCTAATTGACAAAGCCATTCCCAGAGCTGTGCTGACATCATCCTTGATGATGAAGCCTTGTTAACATTAATCTGCTCAAGCCCTAGAGATGGCCTGGTATGTGCTTGCTGTAAAGACTTTGTCTTGAGACATGAGACTGAGGTCCAGTCCTGAGCAATAACTGTTCTAATCCAATCCAGCCCTGGACGCCAATTGCTTTTGCTTTTAAAATCTTCTGGAAAATGCCCTTCTGACATGTCCCTCCTTTATGCCCCTTCCGTCTCTGGCTTGAGTCACTGTCTAATTCTCCAGCTTCTGCATGGCACGGATTTGAGAAGTGTGTTTTTCTCTCTTTTTGTTTTGTTTTGTTTTTTGTTTTGTTGTTTTTCCCCTGATTCAGGAAAGGGCAAAGGTTGATGCTGAAAGGAAGGAACTAGAGAAACTCCAAGCGCTTTACAATGAGTCGAAGAGCCAGCTTGATAACTGCCCTGAGTCAATGCGGGAGCAGTTACAGGACCAGATCAGAAGGGTCAGTGTTTTACCCTCACCTTCCTGGATCACTGCCCACTCCCCCTCAACTCCATGCCCATACCTCCAGCCTTAGCCAGCACTCAGCTGGTGCCATGTGCCAAACTGAGTGCAGTACACTAAGGGCTGGAGGAGGTTGGCATCCAGATGCCATGGTTTTGGTAAGCTCACCACCCAGGATGTAACCTGGCTAGTGCACCAGCAGCTTGCAGAGCAATTCTCTCCTGCTGTTGATAGTGAAGGCAGGTCCATGTGACCCTGTCTCCAAATGCCATGTCTCACTGCAGCCTCTCTTGGCAGCAAGTGGGGAGGGTGCAGGTTTCTTTCACTAGTTCTCTCCTCCTTTTCCACCAGCCTCTTCTGGTCACTGCTGCCCTTCTTTGGGAGGCACTAATGTGGCAAGTGCTGCAAGCCACCCCTCTTCTTGTATTAGTGCCCAGAGGGGGAATTCTGAGCATAGGAGCAAATCCCCCTGTCCTCCGTATGTGAATTCAGTTGCATCCTTCCCCACCTGACAACAGAGAGCAGCGATCTGAATGCTTGGCCAGCTCTGATTTTGATGAGGGACTCTTGTTAAGCATGGAAAATGGGAAACTCCCTGACACTTGTCTCCTTGAGGTAAATCCTCCACCTATGTGCTGCTCCTGAGCACCTGCCTCTGCCAGGGACTCCATCTGTGTTGCTGGAGGCCAAGAAATTGTCAGGTAGGAGTTTGGGCAGTTTTGGTAGAGCAGTCTTTGTACCATGATGCAAAGAAATGAATGTCCAACTCAAAGACCTCAGGCCCGATTACTTAGACTGGACCTGCCAAGTGACACTCTTGCTCTGCCCATTGAACTGCAGTGCAGCATGATACTTAGCATTGGTAGATCTGGAAATGGCCTTTTGCAAATGCACATGCAGCCAGCTTCTGTGTGCTGCACTGATACGGGACACAACTTTAGCTTTAATCCAGCCCCTCTGGAAGTACAGGTTGTGAAGCCTCAGGGGACTAAACTCTGTATCTGTTCTCTGCTGTTGCCTGTGAACATGTATTTATATGGTCCACGCCAGTTAATGTCAATTTCACAGTGCTGCAGCATTATTTCCCATTAGCTGGATTTTACAGTAGCACTCTGATCTTCCTTGGCCTGGGAGTGGAATCTCGGCCATTTATTATGCCCAGCTTTTTCAGTGCAATAAATGAAAACATTTTTCCTGGTTCCCACAGGAATCACACCAGATCCCAGCCAGAAATCCTATGTCCAGTTTAAAGTGGAACTCGGCAGATGTCTAATGCAGTGAGTGACATGCTGAGATACACAGACCAGGAAACCATTGTCTCCCCATTGACTCTGAAAAGGAACATTTCCACTAACTAGATGCTAAAGTGTTTGCATGGAAAATTTGTTCACTGAAATGCGGTTCAGTCAGGCTGAAAATCATATATTTTAAATAAAATGCAAAAATCCCAACCAAGCTAAAAACTAACTCTAATTTCTGCAGCTTTTTACTAACAGCTGGAGTCGCTGGAATATAAAGGATTTAAAACATCAGATGCACTGTTCCCCCAGTGCAGTGTTTGCTTCTTGCTTCCTACCTCGCAAACTAGCCTGGTCAGTTTCTTTTTCAAGTTCCTATGCCCCTGCTCCTGCTAGATTTGCAAGAGCTGCAGAGGGATGTTTACATCCAAACAAAATCTTGATTAATTTATAAAAATATATTAATAACTACATAAAAATACACACCTAAAGGTTCTTGCTGATAGGATAGAAGCCCTGAATTTTATCTGCACTTGCCCGGGAGATGCCATTAACATTTAAAACTGAATAAAGCAGACAGTTATTATACAAAGCACTATCCAGGAAGTGATCTAGCTCAGACCCTAGAAATCTCGTCTATCTCTGAGCTGTGTGGTCACATGCCTGGAACACACATGTTAGCTTGGCCATACTAACTGTTTGTAAAAGATCTTTGTGCAGCCCCACTAACCCATCCACACGGAACACCCCTACTGGCATCTTTCATAGAAGTAACAAGAAAAAAAAGAACAAATGACCTGGTAGCACTTTATAGACTAACAAAACATGTAGATGGTATCATGAGCTTTCGTGGGCACAGCCCACTACTTCAGATCACTGGAGTACAGGCAGTCCCCGAGTTACGCGGATCCGACTTATGTTGGATCTGCAGTTACGAACAGGGTTTGCTCCCCGTCTCCCTGGTCTGCTGGAGACCAGCAGACCAGGGAGATGGGGAGCAAAGCCGCGGAGCACGCTGGCAGTGGG